CCAAGCACAGTGATTGCACTGCGTCAAAGTAAGTACAACAAATACCAAGCACGACGAGACTTCGTGCAAAAGGATGACATGCACAAGGGATGAAGTACACGAGCATTCGTGGAGCTTGGATCGAACTTGTGCAAGGCGACTTAATTGCCTTATTATGGCAAACTAGGTGGTTAGAGGTGGTCATGAAAATGGTTAAAACAAGCGAAGATGGGCCTGTTTTAGAGAAATGTAGTCCGTGCATACGTTTCACATGATAATTTCACTGTGCACGGAGGTTCAAGAGACAACATTCACTGCGGAGTTCAAACGCTAAAGCCTGTTAGGCATCGCGCGGAGGTGGCGTGTGCCACGGAGGCATCTTTGACGCATAGGTGGAGGAAGTAAAACCCGCTAAGTTGTTACTCACCTCACAAAAACTATAACCCTAAAGATCAATCAGGGAAAGAGCTTATAGTAGGGTGAGGGCTACTTAGCCCTAAGTGAGTTGTAACTAGCCACTCTCTATTGAAAGCCTAGAAATTATTTTACTCCCAATTATAATTAAAATGTAACTTAAACGTTACATAAAGTTTTAATTGCATACCACAAATATGAGAGTAATATGCAATGATTAATATATTAAAGAATTGGAGAACCATTCATCTTTAGTAAAGCTTGGCTGAGCAATGACTTTGTTTGCGGGACGGAAGAAGGCGAAGAAACTGCTCAGGATGTAAGCTTCATATAGCATATAAGATGGGGATCTTATGTGGACTTGGGAGCCACATGAACGTTGAGCATGAGCCAGCGTCCATGGAATGCGGGTATTACATTTCGTACGTAGCTTCTGTTCCGCTAGAGCATACATGACATGGGGCGTACTCGTTGCCACTACGATAATTCCTGTACTTGGCGAGATTGTGGTGACTGAAGGCGCGAATCGCAACACTATGCTTGGAATATAGTTTTCCTCGTTTGCGCCTTCATTCTGATCCTTTCGCAGCTTCGACCTCGATTTCGAAGTGGACGGGATTTTAAAAAACTGAAAATGTATTATTTCCTCTGCATGGTCAATCTACAGGAGGGGATTGGAGAAATGCGATTATTAAAGGATTGAAAACGTATTATTGTAATCTAAAGGAGGGGCAGTGGACGATTGCTCGACGGCATGTTTTACCGAATAGTGTGGAGGAGAACCGAACGCGCAAGGCGGGGATGCCAAGGCCAGCTTCTTCTTTCTTGCTCGTGGCATGGAATGAGAGAAACGCGGCTCGGGAATTGCGAGCGAAAGTCGAGGCATTTTTCATGTAAATCTTCTTACCCCGTACCGTAGTTCGCTGCTTTGAGCAGTACTTGCCGTGTCCCAACACCTCCCACCTCGAAAGTTCGACTGACGAGCTTTCAGACACAAAGTCCACGTTCCCACCATGTACTTTGTACTTTCGAGGCTACTAGAGCAGTACGGACATATCGTACCCTATGGCAGCACTGATTCGGAAGATTCGGTGTAAAACCAATAATCTTGCTCTAATATGGAATTGGGTTTGCTCACCCTCAGTGAACTACATCAATACTACTAGATGTGGTATCCACTTCAAACAGCGATGATGCCAACCTCCTCTCTGAAAATCGCAGTATTTCCACGGCCAAGTGGAGAAGAGGCGAAATTGTCCTGTTGGATTTCTATGCATGCATCAAGTCTAGATATTGTCAGTGCATACAACCAGGATAACGGATTTCGGCTGAAAATCACGCTGAACTCTTTGCCTTTTGAAGCAATAACAAGAGAAGCCCTCCACCAGATTATTTCATTCAGGGAGTTGATATGAGACATGACAGAGAGTCTAGGTTCACTGGACGAAAGCAGCCAGCAGAGTAGAGCCAAATCTATCAAACATAAGACAACGATAATGCACCTCCTCCGGTTTGTGTGGAATATATATAAATATATATATATATATAAAGTGTAATTATCCAGGTAACTTATGTGGTAATGCACTTCACTTTCTCACGAATTTCTACATATTCAATTCAAATATGTGGGTGTCCTTGTAGAAAGCTTTCAGGTGAAAAGGGTAAAGGTGAGCTCTGAATGTAGTGCATCCCTGGCTCCGAATGAATGTTCGCTGCTTTACCGTGACAACTCTAATACTTGAAATTTCGAATACACGTCACAAATTCGACCCAAAATTCCCTCTATACAACGAAAGGAATCGAAAGGAATCGATTGAGGCAATTGTCATGGCACGGGCTTATGCACCTAATACGACAGTTGTTGGTCGAAAGAGATGTTTCAATCAAAGACTACATTGACTTGCTTCCTGCCAACGTGGGCATGGGTTCAGCAATACCGGCATCAAACAATGCTTCTGACCTTCAAGTTTCCAAGCGAGAATGTACAAGTGGGCAGTCGGAGTAACCGACCTGCCTAAACCTCATTCAATCCAGTCATTCTGGCAATCCATGCCGAAAACAGAGTTAAATTGGAGAGTCTGTCTACTCCCACACCCCAGGAGTCAACAGCATTGGTTCCTCGTTTTCAGATGCCCTGTAAAACAGGGCCATCTGAAGTCAATCCTAGCTTGAAGGCTTCGAGGAATCCAGGCGGAAGACCCATCTGACCTCCAGAGTCCACGGCCTCCCCACCCACCCAGCGGAGTCGGAGCCTGATTGGATCGTCTAGGCTGTACGGGAAATCTGATTCGTCGGAGGAGACAGTCTAGCCGAGGGCTAAAACAGTCGCTGCCCACGCCCGAGGCTGGGGCTGAATCTGCGCCTGGATGGATCGAAGTCAATCCACCTTAAAATGGATGCTCTGATGGAGATCATCATACTCGACCCTTCCTTCTGCTCGGGCATGTCAGCCCAGCCGGGTGCTCGTGGAATCTCGCACTCCACTGTATCCTCTACCGGTAGCACGCCCCATTTCTAAATCGGGACTCTCGAGCATCCAACTCCAAGCCTGGCAGGTCCTTACAGCAGTTCCGTGGCGCCTCAAGATCTCTACGAACTTGGTACGGTCAACATTCCCTCGTACATCTTTGCCCGCCCGCCCGCCCCCTTGCCGCCGCCGCATCCGATTTAATCTGATTTAGAGGATGCGGAGCGAGATTAGTTAGAATGTTCGAGCGACACAGCCCTCGTCTCCAGCTGTAGAGCCACCACACAAACCTCATAGACCATCCACAAAGCTATTGACTTCTACCGCTTTTTAACCCAAGGTTGTGAGGGCCAATGTGAGGACTTATTTGACAGCTCAAGTGGAAATTATCGGATTTACGGAGACCCATTGTAATTATCTTAGCAAGATTGTGCTCTTTTTGCAGTTGTATTGCATAGGTTCAGCAATTACAAGAAGAAAGGGGGAGAAAATTATTGTTTTATTTTTTATGGTGGTTTATTTGAGATGGTGGGTTCGATACTTGTTGCAACTGGTTCCAAGGCAATTCTATGACAAAAGAATATGATGTTTCCATGGCCTTGCTTGTATTTAGATAGGAGAGCAATCTTTCTATACAAGTGGGTGTTTTTTCAGAGTAGCTTTGGGCGTTGCATTTAGTCAAGGGCAGCAATTCCTGATGCTGCACTTATCCAGGTTCGACTGTCGCGAGCAGTTTTGTGAAAAGTTTATGACGAGTTCGCCCATCTGCCAGTATCGTGAGAAGAAAGTTTTGAAATCACAATGATATATAGTTTCATTAAAGAAGAGAATCAATAAATTTGAAAATGGAGAGCATCCGATTTTGTTATAGAAAAAAATACTAGTGGTGAACTCGAACTAGTAAGTTCAGCTTGGAGAGTGATCAAATGAGCACCTAGTCCTCTCCAACAATCTAAGAACCGAGTTCTGAAATAAAGCCCTGAAGTGTCTCTGCCGTGAATATTTGAACGTCTAAGTTGGTAAGTAAATTCTCCCCTCTGATCCAAATGTTTTCAGGTGATACTACGGAACCTGCTCTTCCGTTTCAGAATTTCAATTATTCCGCTTCCACCACATTGGACAATCATAAACATGATCAAACCTCTCGCTAAGCAACACATACGAATGGAACTGACAAAAGAAAGATTCAAGAATAACCAGGATAAAATGGACCGATTCTTGTCTTGCTCGAAATTTCCCGTTGAGAGTGTAGCATTGAAGACGATCTCATTCGAATTCGGTGCGGCTATTGGATTTTTCCGTTGTCCTCATAAGTGCAATTGACATTCCTGTACTTCCATGGGTATGGAGCAGCAGATCCACGGCTTCACTAAAGAAGCTCACCAACAGAACTTCTGATGAAGTTCAACAAAGTCTGCTGCGAAAGAAGACCAGCACCAGCCGAGATGCTGAAGACAAGCTGTTGATGACAGGCCTTCTCTGTATTTGTGCAACTAGGACTCGTTCATATTGAAAGGTGGGGAGCAGCAGAACAGACAGCATCCCCAGAAGATCTCTGCAGAATTTCCTCGCAGAATTATCGACAATGTTGTCCATTGTCTCCTTCCAACGGAGAACAATGCTATGCAAGTAGTAAAAAGAGAAAAGGCTGTAGACTGCACGATTCTCATTAAGTCGTCATCTCAATGATTCTTCACATCTTGTTGGCATGTTTCAACATCCTCTTCTTCTTCAAAATGGCTCACCCGTACGGAGATTTCATCATAACCGACAACTTGGACACAGGAATCTGCTGCGTTGGTGGGCGATCATCCCAAGGAGAATAAGAAGTCAAGGAATCTGAGCTTATCCTTCTGCTAGCGAGAATACGAGTTTTAACGAAGAAACATGGATATTGCCTCGGTGCCTTTAATGTCCATGTGAACATGAATTCAAGGTTCAAACATCAAACAGTGATAGTGGAATCAAGCACAATTTATGAGGATGTGCGCAGGTGAGGTGCTTGCTCAGATCCTCAGACAAAAAATAAAATGCTGTAGGCAACAGTGCTGCAGATGAATATGGCAGTCAAGATCTGACATAGACAAGCCAATGAGATCCGTGCTCACTCGAGGCAAGAAAGAATTACTTGAACAGTGAAGTGGTTTCCTGAAAAATTAACCTCATGTGCGAGGAAGAAATATGTACACAGAATCCCCAATGCCTTGCCAACTAACTAATGTATTAGTATACAGCCAACCACGCTGCTTCAATATCGACAAATATTAGTTTCGTCAGACCGTAGTGAAGCTGCATGCTTCGTCTCTCTCTCTCTCAGGAGCAGCATGTGCAGCAATCGAAATACTAATTTACATTTACATAGTAGGAAGGGTCTGATTAGCTCGGTCTGTCTTCTGTCGAAGACAGAATTTTCCGCTTTACATGATAACGACGAGCCTAGTATATACTAAGGAGACTCGAATCCATCCACTCAAATCTTCCTCTTCTTCGATCACATTGAACTCCACACATCGCTGGCGCCGGCAGCGATTCGTCCGGCTCTCGTCCTCGCCGCTGGGCGAATCCAGCATTCAGAAGAGATGGTAATCGAAATCTTTCCTCTCAGACAACACAATCTGCGACCCCGCGGACCCGAGACGATGCGGAAGGAGAGCTATAGACATGAACAGATCGAGTAACGATGAATACTCTCAAGCACTCAGCTGCGAAGGAGGTCGAGAATCCTCCACGGGCCTGCGGAACGAGTGGTTGATCTCGAATGGTGTCATCAAATTGGAAGAGTACACCGACTCCGGAACGGCGGTCGATGCGGTGGATCGCGCAGGCTGCTGCTGCGGTTGTTGTTGTTGAGGAGGAGGAGGAAGTTGATGGCTGAAGTAGAATGGCGTCGACTCCCACGAGAAATGCGAGGGCGAGTATTCTTGAATCCAGCCGCACTGCTCGCGCGAGGAGTCGAGGGGCCTGGCTGCGCGAACGGAGTCCAGCGGAGCGGCGAAGAAGTTCTGAATGGCCAGCTTCTCGGCCGCGTCCTCGTCCGACCCCGCACGGCGCTGCGTGCCATTGGCGCCAGAGCTCGAGAAGCCCTTGTAGTCGAGCCCCGCGGCGCAGCAGTCCGCGGACGATTTGCAGCAGCGCTGCATCCTCGAGGCCACGCTGCGCGGCGAGAAGAGCTTGAAGAGCTGCAGCGTCGAGCGCATCGCTTTCTTCCACCAAAGCTCGCAGTCCAGGTCCCTCTCCTTCTTGAAGAGCTGGCGCAGAGACCGCGACGACGACGACGACGACGAGCTGTCCGGCGCCGAGGATCTGCACGAGAGCTTGAATCTGAACAGCGTTCGATGGTACACCGCGATCGGGTTGGCGCTGCTGCTGCCGTCGCCGACGATGGCTTCCTGCTCCTGCTGCTGCTGCTTCCTTTTCTTCAGGAGCTCTTTGAAGTGCGATGGCTTTCCGCTCCGGTCGACGCTCTCCACCGACCACTCCACATCCACCTGAGCATCCACATCTTCCGATGCTTGTCGTCGTGGTGAAATTCCTTCCCCCGCTACCTCCTGCTGCTCCTTCTTGGCGCCCATTTCGAGATCGATCGTGCCGGCACTGTCAGTCGCTGTCAACCTCAGACGCCCCCGATGAATCTAATTCCACGTCTGACTCCACTGCCTTGCCTTGCCTTGCCTTAGTGGGATTTGATACTCCTCCTGTACTAATGCCTAGCTCCGAATTCCTGGACGACGATTCCAGCCACTCAAGACTTCTTTCTCTTCTTGATATGCTGTGCACAAACTAATCTCAAAGCGTCATTAAAGCCTGCTGGCGAGCTCGCAACTCCTTGTCTCGATCGGAATGAGCTGAACCAGTGGGTAATGTCGATCAGTTTCGAGTACACCTTGCCCTTCTCACTCCGATCTCAATTTTCTTTCGACGATGATTCTTAACATGCCGCCATGACCACCACGTCCTCTTCTCTCAGAATTCAAACGACTGCGAAGGGAATCCTGTGTTATCTCTATGCATGTCTGTGAAGCTTCGAGTCTACGCCAGCAGGCAGCAGCTGCTTCTATCCTTCTGGATGTGTGTGGAATTGCTTGTTTGTCTACCCTGAGCACCCAGTGTACCTGAATCCATTTATATGTCACCCATCATCGACCATGATAGAGTATAATATCCGTACTCTTGAATATCCAATTGTGACTATCCTTTTCGCGCATTATTATACGAAGGCTCAAGATATGCACCATGCGGCAGGAGGCAGCAAGAACTGCACAATAGCACTGCTGCAACAGCTCAGGTGAGGTGAAACCAGCCCTGAATACGTGCGGCCGTGCACATCAGTCCAGTACTGTCAGCAGAATTGATGTAACACAAGGGGAGAGTATCCAGCGCTGCCTGTAAAGCTGGGAGGATGAGACAGAACACGATACACAATGTGTGTTCGTGAGTGGGTGACGTGAGAGGTAACACTTGCAGCAGCCAGCCAGACCGCCTGCCCAGAGTCTGCATGCTCGCTCTTCATGGGTTGATCAGGTGGGGAACTATCACTTGGGCTTGTAACTCGTAAACCCTGATTGTATGATCCCTTGCGATTGTACGAGCACTATGAATAATGGGAAAGTCTGCCTCACGGTTATTGTCACCAGGTTGGCACTGCAAAAAGACAGCTCCCATATTTTAATATATCTGCGTGTTCTGGCTGACTGCACAATCACCGCCCCAATTCGGAAAGGACTGTCCTCTTCGCAGAGTTCTTTCTTTGGATTTTGTTTTGTCTTGTCTATTTTAGTCAAATCTTATACGGGTGAAGCGAGAGACATGGAACGAAAAGTGGACTTCAAATGACAGTCATGTCATATTCTAAACAACGGTGCCTGCTCTACTTGTCAACTCAGGCTGCCCTCGGTCTCGGTCAGGTGCCAAGCTCTACGGTTTGCATCTGCTTCGAAATTCCCAGTCGTTGAATTTGTGGGAAGGCACATCTTCCGTTAACAGAAAGTCACTTCATACGAGCATGGCAGGCCGGGTCACGCTCACCAGATGTACGATCCCAAAATTTGCATGATGCATCAATTCGCCCACGCGATCGGTGATGATGAGCATGTTATGGGCCTAATCCATAACCGGCGGAGACAATGCCAGATCATGAATCCAACGAACGTCCGGAGCATCCATTGTTTGTCCCAAAAACGTGCGCAGTGAGGCTTATTTGAGAATTCAAGTCTTCTAATTGGGTCCCATGACTCATGTCCCTGTGGGACCGGCCAGATTGGATCGACCCCATGTAATCGACAACATTCCATGGATCCTATCCCTCTCCCCGCGTTCTTTATCCTCCTCACCCTTCCCAATCTCCTTTCCTTCGTGCACCCTTCTTCTGCCCCGCTCATCTTCTTTAATAGAAACCAGATTTCGGCTCCAAGTTTGACTTACAGTACATGTAAATCTCTTCCCCGGTCTCACTCAAGGATCATTCGCATGAAGTAACTCTATCTGAGCTGATGGTATCACAAAATTCAATCCTCTTCAAGACAAGACTGGTTCGCCGACCGCTGTAGCTGTCCGGCCTCTAAGGTCAGTCCAAGGCTCCTCCGGACCTGCACAGTACACAATGCCCAAACTTCAGCAAGGTACAAACTCTTCAACTTAGTCCGACATTCGTTCAATTAGTTTGTTTTGCAACCGAAGAAAAAGAAATGTTAAAGGTATCGAGAAAGTGAGTACCTGGAATGTACTGCTTACTGGAATGTTCGGTGAGTGTACCTCACTCACACAGGACTTGTGGACACTAGGATTATCAAGAAGTACTGCGTGGAGAGACCGATGCGAGAAATGAATGGGGCCCGGCATCTCATCTGAATCGATTACGAGCATTCAGCATCTCGACAGGGAGAATCTTTAGTTCATTACGATTGCTGTGCTCGGTGTAAGGATCATAGGCAAGAAGATTCCATACAGGCCGAGATTTTCCATGTGTTACTTCCTGGATCTTAGATCGCAGTTTTCTCGATGGATCGATGGTTATTCGACGGTTTTGTCACTTTCATGCTGAAGTGCCATGTCTGATTAATCCATAGATGAAGATGAGTTCGATACTTGCTGACTTCGTTGTCAAAGTGTAGATGCTCTCCATAGTCTAGAGAGATTAAAGTGTACCTCAATTTCGCTAGTTTGGGGTAAATTGGGAATAAAACTCCAATATAGATCTCGATATAGTACATGAGAATAACTATAATATTGTTGAGGTTGAATCAAATGATAGACACTATTATGTAATTTGACTTTCCTTGCATTAGATGGTAAGCAACGTTAAATGTTTATATCAAGATTGATCTAGTGAATAAAAGATGCTGGTTTCTAGAAGGTACAAGCCTACAAATTATTCTAGATATGATTATCATTTTGGTGTATGATTATCTTATGTTTTGACGTATGTTTCTCTTTATCGCCAAACATGTATCTATCTCAAAGGCGAAGGATGAGAATTCCTATTATCTAACGCATGCATAGAACACTCAAGCATCAACATACTAAAATAAAACCTATACATGCATGTCAGCCGATGTCATCTCTCGATCAATATCACTTGAAATGATGATAGTGATCATGTCAAGTGGGTACTAATATTATCGTATTGAGTTGTACAAAGCACTTATACTCGTAAGTGCAGGTCAATTATTCAGGTCATGTCGGATAATATGCGCAACTCCAAATCTTTTACTTACATGTTAGCCAATGAAACTTTGGACATATATCAGCATGACTATCATGAATTTTATGAGTCTAAATCTTTAAATCCTTAGATACATCTTTGATCCGACAAAACATCATCAATCTTTCTAGAAAGCGATTGATGGTACTCATGATAGATATGGCATGAGATATCTAGGCTTGAATACAACTTCTTAGAGAATAGGATTCTTTGGAGAAAACACATAATTCATTAATAAAATTGAATTATTCATATTATCAAATGGTCAGAAATTGCTTAGATGAGCCTACATGATGAAGATACTTACATTTTGCCAAAATAATCTCATAATATCAAGAGAATGAGGATCTTATTGGTAAAACAGATTATTACAGTTAATGCATTTACGACAATATAATTCGATAATGAAATCATATAATTTTCAAGCTATCATAAGAACCATATTGTTTTATGAAAACGTAGAACTATGGCTTTAAGGAGTGATTTAAAAGACGTTTTTAATTCAATTTATGAACAAGTATATAAATTTTTCTGAGCATGAAGCAAAAGTCATATGGACAAAGCTTTGTTATGATTATTGTGTCATGTAGTAACAGAAATATTAGTTGAAACAGCTGAAGAGCCGAATTACTAAAACTGCTACGAATAGGTTCAAAATTGTGTGAAAATGATAGCACAAATAGTGTCAAAATGGCGTGAAAATGCTGGTCTAAAGAGGCCAAAAGTGGTGTGAAAGTGATGTACGAAGAGTGTCAATGTGTCTGAAAATACTGATAGAAAGAAAAGCATAATGAAGTAAAAATGAGTTCCAGAACGGTGAAAAAAACTTCTACAAATAGCTTTAATCTGGTGTGAAAATGATGTGAAAGTGGTGGTATGAAGAGGCCAAAAGTAGCGAAAGAGTGCAGGTAGAAAGTGTCCCTAAGTATAGGTGAAATATCAATACAAAATGAGACATAATAGAGAAAATAACTGATACAAAGCGGCTTACAATGATGATAAATAATTGATTCAGAATGTGACAAAGTGAAAATACAAGAGCAATTATAAAAGTGTCAAATTTCAAATTTTAAAAAGACAAAGCTACCCATGTATTGAGACAAAGTATCAAGGAAAAATTCCAACTTGTCTAAACTGACAAAAATATTTTAAAAATGATCATAACAGAGCAGTGAGTAACATTGAAAAGACAAGTGTAAAATTCAAATGTTTGAGTGGTAAAAGAAATGTTAGTAGACACATGATGGCAAAGACAAATGGCAGAAAGAAAAATTTGGATAGTGATGGAAAGAAGGGCAAAAGGCTAATGGAATAGTATTTTTTTTACTGATGACGGATATTTTTCAGTATTATTGGAATAAAAGCCAGAATTGCAAAATTACAACTATCAGTTCAATTATCTTATATTTTTAAAAAATATCATTTCTGTAAAAAAAATAAAAGGCGAAATTTAGATATGAATGTATACTTGTGTGAAATTTGAAATTGATTAAAGCAACTTAAACATTTCTAATGGATTTGTACACAGAATCTTCATATTGTCATGTAATATAAGCAAATAATTGAAAATCTTTTGAAAATAAATGAAAATAAAAAATTGAATAAGTTAAAATTGAGAGTATTATGTATTTTTGAAATGGAGCTAAGATTAGACAAAGTAATTAGAAGTTGCTATAATCTTTATGTGGAGTATTTTTATAAGCTAAAAGTGATAAAAGAAAATACATGATTAATTCAAAAGCTTATTTTATGTGCATATGATTTAACCATCTATTAGCAATCTTATGTAAACACTATTATTGTTTGGCCTTTGACAATATGAATCATTTTGTTCTATTTTGTAGTCCGACTTTAATTGAAAGTTTGCTAACATCATTGCAACATAAAGAAATCATTTACTTTTACATTATATATTTTCACACAAATTTTATAGAATATTTCTATTTATTTTTTATTTCTAATTATTTAAAAAAATTACCCTATTATTTAAATCATTTGATTTATCACAAATAAAATTTTAATTAAGTCATTTTTAAATTTTTACAAATAATTAAAATTTTAATTATTTTAATGTAATGCCCAAATTGTAAAATTTTATGTGGCTATGTTTTTTTTTTAATTACATGTCATTTTGATGAAATATTCTTTATTTTATTTTATGTTATGAATCATTTTGTTATCAATTATGTCATGAATTATTATTTTAGGTTTTGTATTTCAAAAAATAATAGGATGTTTAATACTATCAACTTTTTTTACATAAATGTCACTTTTTCACTTTAAATCACTTATTTTCACCAAAAATTTGTAAATAATTTAGACTTGTGTTATTTTTTGTTATGAATTATACCCAAAAATTTTTATATAATTCATTTTATATCAAAGCAATTTTATCAGTCGTTTTTTTAATAGTTCAATATTTGCATCATTTGATATATCACAAATGTATCAAATAATTTAAGTTATACATTTTTATTATTTTATTATTTTATTTATTTACTTAATAATATTTTACCAAAAATAATTACAAACCAAAAAATAAACACTTATAAAGCAAATAATCAACATAAACTATAAATATACAATCATAGAGTATCTATTTCTATTCATAATTGGATTATATCGACATTTAGATTTGATTGTAAACATGAATTGTGATTTTTATTTTAAAAAAATTAGATATTTCCTTTCCAATTTTTATCTTTTAATAATTAAAATTTCCAATCATTTAAATTTTTAGGTTTTTGATCTTGGTTATATTCTTGACTTGCCAAAATTTATTTGACAAAATCACAAAAAAGAGTTCAAATTTTTCAAATTTGAACTCTTTTTTGTGATGAAGTGAAAAATTGATTTTTTTATTATAGTTCAAATATTTTAGTTTGCATTTGGAAATCAATTTATGTAAAAACTATGACTAAAATTGAATAACATATTTTAATAAATAAAATAAAATAAATATTTTATTTTATTTTTTATTGGAATATTTTTATTTCATTTAATTGAATAGTTTTATGAAAAACATTAATACTAAGAAAATGTTAATTAATGAAATCTATCAATAAAAATTTTTAATTGTAACAATTAAAACACACGCACACGGTGGTGGACATGCATCCGCTTCCAACCCTATTGCTATAGGGTTCGAAATCTGTTCGCAAGGTAGTACCATTACACTTGCAACATTTTTCCAAAATTTTCTTGTTTGACATCATTGTATATTATGATAGTGTATGGGATTGTGAAGAATGTAAATATTGCAGATTTCAATGAAAATCACATCGAATTAGAATGCAATAGTCTTTATGTTGAAAGAGAAAGAGAATGTGCTGGAACAGTATGATGCTCTTTCTCTAGATAGACCAGGTATCCTGCAACCCTTAACCTCTTCTCTATACTTCTCAGTTTCTCTTGATTTCTAAAAAAGATTTGCATTCCAAAAAGATGGTAACGATAGTTAATCCGCATTGATCGTCCATTATGCAATAATGTTACATCCTGAAAAGTATGATGATTGATAAAATATCTATCATATTGAAAAATTATATCTAATCCATGAAATTGGATTAACTTTATATAATTTGCATCAATCATTTTATTAATTTTTAAAAATTAAACGTTAAAAAAATTCTTTTTTATTTTTAATAAAATAAAAATATGTATCTTATATTTTAAATACTTTTACTTAATCATAAATATTAAATATTGAAAATAAATACCAAAATTGAAACTTTATTATTAAAGCATCTGTATTCTTTTTGTTAAAATTAATTTTTTATTTTTTCAAATTTATTTTACACATTCAATCATTGCCATCAAACTGGTTATAATGCTTAGATTTTATTTCATTTCATCAATTTAATATATTAAATATAAATAAAAAATAAATGTTTTTAAATAAATAAAAAATAATAATTTGTACACATGTTAGAAGATTATCAAATTTCTATGAGTTTTACATGTAAGTTTTATCATTTCTAAAATTTTTTTATATGCTATTTGTATGAATACTTTTTCTAAACTGATATTATAAAATATTGCTTATAAAATTAAAAAATATCATTATTTACGAAATGGAAAATTTATAATTTTATTTTAGAAAAATTTAGCAAATTGTTTTATGATATATTTATTTGTATCAGTTCATATTATTTTAAATAATTAATAAAATAATGTTGATGTTAGGTATTTTGATTCATCAAATATTTTGTTTTATTTTTATCAAAACTTGATTCTCTTTTAAAATTTTAATCTTCATAAATTATCTAAAAATATTTTCATCACTTTTATTAACATGACATCTAATTTTACTATGATATTCACTTTCTCTAAATCGAATCAATATTGCAATGTTTGTAAATTTTTATGTAATTTGATATGTATTCACATGGATTATATCATGAGCTTAAAATAATATTATGCATAAAGATTTAAATCTTGTGAGATTTTTAAGCTATTTTTGAATTATAAAATTATAAAAAAATCTAAGTAGTTGTTTGAGTAATTTTCATAAAATTTTCATGCTTTTTTGTTGTAATTTTCATTTGATGCATCAAAATGTTTTAATTTTCATGCAAAAAATCATAGACAATGTATTTCATTTATTTTACATTCATCAAAAAATAATTTATTTGAAAAAAGCAAAGATATTTTGATACACAAGTGATAAATTATTTAAGATTGATTTGTATTACAATTAAAATTACTTAGTTATTAAATTGTAGCCAAAAGATATTTAATTATTTTGGTTGAATTGTGTGATAAAATTTTACCAATTGTTACTCAATTATTCTTGTGTGATATTCTATGAATGATTGATTTCATCGTGATTGATTCAATTTTCCAAGTGGTGTAAAACTTTGGAATGTATGAACAATAGCTTCATCATACACCACATTTGAAGTTTGCATTTGAATACTAACAAAATAATAAGCTGCAAATTTGTGTGATGTAATGTGTACAATTTTTTTGGCAAAATTAAATATAATATACATGGATATACTTATTTTGTAGCAAATACATATAATACATCTATGAGATTTGTGTGAGATGCAAATATTACTTATATTTGCAAACTTTATATATGATTAGATAAGAATCTTCTTTAGTTCTTCTTTGGATTGAAGAATTGATGCCAATGGAGGTCAATTCTTAGCATATCAGGACTAGCGAAATAAAAAAATCACAATATCATCCAATTGTCAATCTATCTTCGAACTCATCCAAGCTATCCAGTTGCAATGCAGCCAAAGGGTTATGCGACTCGAGTAACAGAGAAATTTCTCTGTGCAATTCAAGCAGTTCCACATCGGCGTTGACACACTGAGCTCAGAATAACAAAACAAAGCACCAATTTGCATTGTTCCAGACGTGCCACACTGAGCTCGAAAAGCTCATTTGGCATGAAATCACTATAAGAATCTTATAGTGAATTCAAATTTCTACAAGATTGATTTACATATCAAATTAAGAAGATCAACATAAAAAATCTTATGTTTTTGAAATTTATTATTTATTTGTTAGTTTTAATGTATAGATTACTTTGATACGCGTTAATCATATATCAATTGAAGTATATAAGATTGATTACACTTCTTATTATTGTCCTCTATAAGTCTATTGTCTTCTCAATTTTGATGGTCATTTTTGGATAATTCACGTCCTATGCTGGAAACTTGTTCTCAGGCAGTATATATAAAATCAGCCATTTGAAGAAGTACATCACCAACTAGAGTGAGTATTGTAATGGTCTATTCAATAAACATAAGAGCAATGTGGTTTACTCCAATAAATTGCTCAAATACAAACAATGTCATTCTAATATAATACAGACTCACACTATATGGCTACATCATGTAGAAATGACATGTGAGAAGGTCATCCTGGTTGTAAAAATATAAGTAATCAATAGCTTCATAAATAAGTAGATCATGTTTACAAATACCATACTACAGAGTATTGCTTACTGGTTATGCAGACTAATTATGAGCTGTGAAGGTGACAGGAGTACATGTTTATTGTTGCGTAAAACATTTAGCTGCTTAATGCGTAGATGTTGCAGGAGTGTTAGGTACTCTTCAACGATGACTTTCGAATTATGTTTTATTCTTTTGAGGCTCGAAGTCCATTGATCTCAATCAGCTAATGTTGCTTAGCTTTGGGATTACAGGTGTCGTTAGATCACAGACACAGCCAATCCAGGTCAAGACGTCAATAACTGAAATGTCTAACTGCAGTAATAGAACCCGGAAACAGGATAGTCAAGAGGATTTTATGCTACCTTTACATTACGGCGTCTTTTTACTTTATGTACAATGATAAAAGTCACATTCGACACATACTTGAGCTGTACCATAGAAATCGGCTATTCTAACGAAAGCACAAACCATGGATGCCACCCCATCTTAGTGTTATAGTATATAATTGTTTGTATCTTTACAATTTGGGTTCGTAGCTTTCTGAAGAAAGCGAGGACAATTTAGGTCTGCATACGCTCGATTTGTTGAGTTTTCTAACTAACTTGCGGACTCTTTACCTTCACCCCAAGCGGCCCACGTTTTGCGTTTTGTCATTTATCTGTCTGCGGGTAGATTCTGGTTTGAAAAATTATCCTATTCTAACACATGTACCTGTGAGTCCATAACGGACCACCCTGATTCCAGCTGGTCACTCAGTTGGACATGTCGATATGTAGGCGGCAAATTGCCCCCAGGGTTTCCTTTTCATCACCACAGGTAAAGAGCACCGTACGCACATCCGAACACCCTCTTTTCCTGTGATCCGGGTCTTTAGTTCTCGCTCTTTTCAGGGTCGGCGACATGTAACAACCTTCAACTGCCATTTGATCGTTTGCACCTTTTTCGTGACGTGGAGATGCAAATGAAGAGCTTGAAGGCCTGCAATATGCTGGAGGAGATCTAATAAGGGAGCCGCAGTTCGGCTCCCTCATTAGATCCATCGATCCGTGGTCCATAGATAAGAGATGTTCTGGAAACGCACCCACTCGGGTGTCTACAACACACGGAAGAGTATAATCAAAGAATGTATGCTGCATCGGCAGAATGTACACAAAGAGCTGTGTGTTCAACGACTTTTGAGGTTCAGAGTAGAGTATGCAAGTGTCACTTTGCATACTCTACTCTGAACCTCAAAAGTCCGGACAGATAGAATGAAACCAAACCGCACAAAAAAATGTCGAAACCAAGTCTTATACAGTGAGCTGTGTGGAACTTCCGACGACAAATCCGCAGTCAGAGCTTTCATTTGACGCAAAATTAGCAACAACTCCGATAACGACACAATCGATTGATGCGATAGTCTGTAGATCACAAAAATCAGGGCAACCGTGTTTGCCTGTTTTTACCGGAATTTCTCTATGTGCATCTGTATTAAGCTGGACAATTCAGCTTAGCCTAGATTCTCCTTTCTTGATAACATAACCGACTGTACAAACCCCTGACAAATTACCTATCTTCGTCGACATGTAAGGGTTCAGATCCCGCATGTTGAGTAATGAACAAAATTGGACCTTCCGCTGTGCTGTGTCGTCTTTGTGCAAAAAATGCATGAAAGGGCTACACTCACCCCAGAGCAAGAGGCCTAGTTGGGTGAGTAGAAGAATTCAATTGGATTTCTAGCGAGATATAATTTTGGCATCACATGCGACAATTTTTACGCGATCCACAGGCTGGAGTTCATTGTCTGTCTTGAACACAGCGTTTTCCAGTATGAACGTCCACACGTTATCACAAAACCTGTAGGTGTGTAAATGTCCCTGCACATGCTCGAGCCATCGTGAAAAAGTCAAATCAATGAGGCTTCAAAAACAGAAAAAAAGCATTAAAATTGAAAGCGCCAGAGATGAATGCAATTTTCTGGGCTGGGGTCACGCCAGTGCAAAACTCTCGACGACGTGAAGGCAGCCAAAAGAACCCTCTGTTTGCCGTAAGCTATAGATCGGAAACTTAGCGATTCTAGCTCAAGATAGGACAACCGTAAACCCTAAACCGTAAGGCAAAGGCCTCACAGGCTTGAAGTTATAAGTTGACATGAACGATTTCTACAGACAAATTGTATTCAACTCAGGGCATTGGCTCCAAACGGCAAAGGCAACAAGAAGATAGCGGCTGACAGGAAATAGAAATTCTCGAAAGACATGTCAATGCCCGACAGACTCTCAAGTGGGTTTCGATTGGAAAGACACGGGTTTTCTAAAATCCGAGAACTAGAATCAGCAAAGAGTTCTTTGCGTGCGCTATGCGACTCGAAGCATAACACCTAAAAAATTTATCGAATTTCATTCGTAAAAACTATTCGACAAAGACCTATCTCTTTACGACCAGTAGATTTTCACCAATCTAGACCTAAGTCCGTTGAAATGGGTATTTCTAGTGTTAATTCTACATACTTGTGGGTCGGCAAACAAAAAATGATGAGTCCATGACCAATGAACATAAGTTAAAACTAATCACAATATACGACCGTAATAAGTGGAACATCAATTCATGCCCACGAGGCTTCAGAAAACTTATGTTTGCTCTGCAAAGTAGCCTTCAATCCTTACAGTAAGGTCCAATGACTACTTCCTGGAGAACTAAAATGAGACTATCGTATAGTTGAGGATGAGTTCCCGCATGTGTGGTGGCTCCATCATTGCCGCATGATGTGCAGCAAAATAATGTCTAATTCCCAATCCCACTATCCCAATCATCATGAAGCTTCAGGCAACATAACAGGCAAAAGCTTAGGAAGCTCTGTTATCCAGGCACAGACGAGACTAACACTGTACAGGAGGAGTAGGCAGAACGATGCCCAATTCTCACCTTGAACGTTGTCTTGGACTTCACCTTCTGCTGGAGCGCATCATTCATGGACTGCACGAACATCCAAGTAACTGAGTCAGTACGTATGAAACAAACTCTGGATGTAACCACAAACGGTGACAGGGAGCAAATGTACCCTAAATACTGCCCTTCGAGCTACTGTAAACACTTCTCTAACGTATCTAAAGAGCTGAAGTTTGTGATCCAGCTCCGCATGCATCACATATACGTGAATCGAGAGCATCTGACAGCTCGTCAAGACTACTGGCGGAGTTTCGGCCAATCTCCCACAGAAACCTACAAGAAAATAGATTAAACCTCACTTCAAACCGCACCGAAGAAGGACGTACAGACCGAAGCACTGAGATCGCATACCTTGTCAAATTGCATGAGCACTTTTACCGCTAGAAGAGGGGAGATGGTGCCGTTAGTGACGAGTTCGTCCAAGGCGTCAGTCAGGCTCGTGCCAATGGAGGATTTGCGGTACAGCTCGTAGCTGCCCATCTCCTTCACTGCCCTCAAATCCTTTCGTCTTCTTCTTCTTCTCCTCCTCCTTCCTCCCCTCCTCCTCCTCCTCTCCACCCACCAGCTGCGCGCTCTTCGCCTCCTCGCCTTATATACAGATCTCGTCCCCTGCGCAGCTCGTCAGAAAAGGAACCAAATTGCAGTGCGTGCTGGATCTTTTCTTATATACCCACCAGCTTCCAAGGCAGGATTCCGGCAGCACCGCACAGCTCGACACTTTTTCTCATTTACCTCGGCCTTCGTCCTTTCTATCTATCCATCTGCCACTGCTCGCCTGCTGCCGCTGCTGCTGCTTATCTCGAGCCGACTCTCCAACTCTTGCGCTCGGAATGTCCTTCCCTTCTTATAAGATCGGGCTCATGGGGCTCCGTGAGCCGGCCTTTAGGGCTGGTCCAGCAGCTCCCGGCCACCCGACCCGACCTGTGGGCCCGCTTTTCTTTCCGCCGATCCACGAACTCCCTAACTCGGGTTGAGTTAAGAGCTCGGTGGGCCCGTCGGCTCCGTTTTGACCCGAGCCATCGATTGTCAACCGTCGTCCGTCCATATCTATCGTCCCGTTGGCAAGAGAGCCCCTGAGCCTGGAGTCTGTGGGCCCTACCTCGCCTCCACCACTCCGAACCGACCGCGTTCCTGAAATGGCGACCTTGGTGTGAACTCACACGTGGTTGCTGTGTACTGTGTTACTGTTGGTGCTGCGTTCAGCGCCGCGGGGGAGGCGGCAAGTGTTATTACCAGTGCACTAAGTACTGTACTCATTTTCTCATGATTTGCTTGCGGTACAAATGTCAAATTAAACAATTTTTCCTGCTGGCATTCATTCTAAGGTGATTATTAAAGCGGAAAAAGTTTATGGTTCGCACAGTCCATTCATCATAGCATAATTTAGTCCTCGAATAGGTATATCTATGGATTAAGTGATATTTTGAGGAAAAAAAACTAGTGTTAGAAGATTCTTTTCTCACGTATATTATATTTCGAATTTCCGATAAAAAAATTTCTTGTAAAACTATCTTCATTTTAGGTAAATTAGGATTTTTCAAATAATTTTGATTTTGATTATGATTTTGTACTCAAAATTAAATAAATTAATCTAAATCTAAAAATTTTAATTTAATAAAATTACAAATTAACATTAGATTTTTTCTTTTATTATCAAGAATTAACATAGCCCTGCTTAATAATTAATAATCATTTGCCCTATTTTCAGTTAAATACATGATACGAAGAGATCATTATGTAGTGTGATTGTCATTTTAATTTAGAATAAAAAATTCAATTTCACTTTTGATTTTTGATGTTAATCATGAATTCATACTGACAGAGTGAATTTTTTTACCGAAATATTTCGTCGATATATTTTATGTAAAATGCAACTGGTTGATTGTCGTATGTGTTCTCTAACTATCTGAATTTTTGGAAAAGAATTGTTTTAAAATTATTAAAAGAAATTTTCTCACTATATAATCTACACATTTTTAAATGTACTTCTTAAATTTTAAAATTTCAAATGTCTCAAAAATTAAAGTGAAATGACTATTCTATGATTAATTTTTTTTAAATCAGTTTTTTTTCCGAATGATCAGTTTACAATTAGAAAACTATGGACAAATGACATTTAAAGAGATTTGTGATAGTTAGGTTTGTGAAATTCTGATCTTGAGATTGTAGGAATCACACACTGCCAAAAATAAGGTGAATATTTATTCAAAATCCAACTCGTCGATCAACTAGACATTTTTTTCAAACTACCATTTACGAAAAAACTTGCTTATGAGATTTCGCTAAAAACTACTTGATTATGTGTACAGTATTTGGATCATTTTTGTGAGTTGGTAGCTTGAGGGTTCGTCGAGCCTTGCGACAAGCGCTATCCCCGTTGTGTGTTGATAGTCGTGTGATCGATTCACTTGGTCTACTGTACTAACTTTTGTGTTTCATCACGTGAGTTAGCGTATACTCGTGTAATATACATTATTCAGGATAGACAAGTTTTAGAAGTCATTGAATTTTGATTGGGATTAGATTATATATTATGTTTGACTCTTTTGACTACGAACTCGTTTTTTCAAACACATAGGGATTATGTTCTAAATCCAAATATTTTTCTTGCTATAAAAACCTTGCACAAAAATAATCATTCAAAATGAATTTATTTCTTTTATCTTTTTTATCTCTTTTATGGTTTAAAACTAATGATATGTGACTTGGTTTGAATGTTGCAATTACACCTCAAGTTACACTTGATATACATATCAGGTGCATACTTCCCATTGCAAATGATTGATGCTTACATTATGAGTGGTGTATATGAGCGTAATTTAATTTGGATGGAGGATGAAAGAAAACAAAATTCACTTGCATAATTGTGCAGTAGATGCATCTTGCCGAATCGTACGCACATTAGGCGTACATTATAAACATAAATATAGATCTTAAGATCAAATTTGAGTGTACATTTTGGTATCGCCACTATCAAAATATATGCTTACATCTTAGGCATATAATGAGTTATATTTATTTCACAAATAAAGAAATGAGAAAATCAAATGCTACTTTTACAGTCAATAAGTTATACAGTTTGCAAATGACCATGTAGAAGTATTCAAATTATCTCCAATTTAAAAAACGAATAAGTTCCCATAGAATATCTCCACGTGTTCTTATTCCTTCATCCAAGTGTTAATTTGAGCCCAAAGTTCAATTACATCCACTTTAAGAGACTCTACCAACACTTCCCTGCTAGCGTATCCTTCCAAAATTGCACTTTTCTCTCTAAAGGTACAGTAGGATTGACATAAAATATATCGAGAGGCATCCAGTCGAGATGAGTCACTGGGGTTTACTCATTCAGCCATTCCATCATGCACTTGGAAAATACTTACGGAAGGCAAAAAAAAAATGCTCGAGCCATAGGAAAGAGAAAAGCATTGGAGCTCGAAATTGGACGCGAACCGGCTGAAGCAAAGCCGCTACCCAGCCGAACGAACGACCGACCGAACACTCGAGACAAGCTCCGCAAGCCAAATTCACTTGCACGACAGAGTCGACAGCGAGACGGGCCCGAAAGAGGGAGAGCGAGGGCGAGAGCGAGAGCGAGGAGGGAATGCTCGCTGCGGACGAGGGACGGACTAATCGCGCCGCAAGGGATCGGCAGCCCTGTTCAGAGGCGAATTCAAGAAGGGCGAAGAGATTGATGATGGCTCGATCTGGCAGCAATTTGGGGTCTCGTTTGTGACTGACCTGGAGGAGTTTCAGCGCATCGAGGTGTGCGTGCTCTCACTTGTGTGCGTGGCATGGGCTGTGTCCTGTCGGATGGTAGGACAGGGGTGAAGACGAGGAGGGGCCGCATGGAGTGATGGAGATTAGGGAAAGTTTGAGTTTCGTTCGGGCCCGGTGGTGAGAAGATGGTTTTCGACCTTCGATGATGATTTGTTGGAGCAGGCGGGTCTTCTTTTTGTGAATTTTCGCACTGCAGCTTCGTTCCAGGAGAGTGTCTTCAGTGGGCAGAGTTCTGTTGGGACTGACAAGATGTGGCACGAGGCTCGCCGATCGGAGAAAAAAGTCCATGAGTTGATGGATGCCGCGAGGAAGAGGTCCGAACGAAGGGCACTCTTCCTCGCCAAAAGGCGGGGCGACCCTCACCAATCATTGCGCCTTGTTGGGACGCGCTGCCGTATGCACCACGATGCTGCCATATATCAAGCGACTCAGGACCAACAAGGCTTGTATGCATCGTCGTTCCCATGAATCAAACCGAATATTTTTGAATCTGTTTATTTATCGAATGAAGAGGTTTATGAGCTGTTAAAGGATTTTCTAGATCTGTCAGCAGCTGCAAGTCGATGCCCCCTGGAGTTGTAATTTACGTGGGTTTGGATACTGGCCGCTACTTTTATGGCATGATCAATACAGGTCGAAACATGGATTTTGCAGCGATGTAGAAACCAAACATTGTCCTTGCCGAGGAACATTTGTGTACCGAATCAGTATGAATAACAGTGAATTGAATTGAATTTGGAATATTTTTCTTAGGGACGGGTAAATTGTTATCTTCAGACTGCGAAAAGAGGCATCACAAAATGGATTGTTGAAATTTTTTGGCTTCTGCACACTGCACATATGTGTAGGAAACCTTGAGCATATTTAAGGTGTTCTTCTCAGACCGGTGGGAGGGGTTTGAGAGTATTCCAACACTAATTATGAGTGCAAGCAGCAGTAATAGCAAAAGTCTTGAAGACCTAACTCTTGCAAAACAAGGCCTACAGAAACGATACCGGTACACCTGGAAAGTTCTTTCATTGGACTCACACTCACGCTCAACCATGTTTCATCGTGCAGGATTCCTTGGAATGGCAAGCAAACCAATCTTATCGACAGGTACGCCCAATTTTTTTTTATCTTTTTTTTTTTAGTGCTTTACTTTGGCTTTGAGTATCTCAAGGTTTTATACATTCTCCTAATATTTTGCCTTCATGAGAGGATGTGACCTGTTTGAGGTCCTCAGGATTTAATGGGGTGAAATGCTCGATCAATTACTAGATAGGTTTTAGTTACTAGAACTTGACACCTACGACAATTGGAATATCTGTTTACGTTAATTCCACAGTAGCTACTGTATGTTACTAGATACTTGTTTTACTGCTCTGCGGTTATTTTGAAACGCGTACTCACTTTAAGTACTTAATACTGAGGTCCCACGTCTGCAGGTTTGATGGTCGAGCACTTCTGGATGTAATTCGAGAGTATGATCCTCGGACACGCCCTGTCAGGGAGAAAACCGAAGAGGAAGAAGAGTTAGATGAGCTGGTAAACTTCGAGCGTTATCGAGACTTGATCAAACAACGACGTCGTGGATGTCGGTATCTATAACCTGTTTGACTGCTCTCATTTGATCTTGGTGGCAAAACTAAACCGCTCCTAGCATATGACTGGTGTCCTAATCAAGGGATAAGGATCATTGTTTCTTTTACATTTAAATAGGGATAAGGTTTAAATTTATTCTATCATATAAGGTTCATCGTTTCTTTTCCTGGGACACCTTCAGTCTTTTCTCTGCGGTTTGGTGGTTTCAGATTCTTAATAGTCATTTCATCGTGGGCTATGTGCAGTCACCGATGAACAGGGGCTTGAGGATGTTGAACAGGAGCTGGAAACAAGAGCCATAGCCCCTTTGTCCGCAGACAGGTGCCTTTAAATCACATGTAGTCTTATAACTGTACTATCTGGCTAGAAATTTGTTCAATTCACAATGGGGCTCGTTAATTGTTAGTTCAGATTAAAAGAAGGAATGCTTCAGAGCAGAAGCTCCCGCAACTTTGTTTCTTTTCTTTCACACTGGTGATGCAAGTTGTACATGAATATCTCCCAAGTACATGTTGTTAAATACTGAGTGGTCACGACGCAAGGTAATAGGACAGGATTTCGATCTTTTTCTTACATGTGGAATTTTCTGGATTGCAGGCAACGAGTATTGCAGGCCACGTCAGGGAAAGGGGCGTATGCCCAGGTTGCTTTCGCTTATGAGGGAGAAGGCCGCGACGACAGTCAGACCTTGGACAGTGATGACGAAGAAGAGGACGAAGATGAAGAAGTGAGCAGCAGTGAAGACAGTGAGGATGACGAGATCGAGAACATTGGGAAGGACCATGGAGTGCAGCGGTTTAACTGGCTGGTTCATCTGGATAGAAAAGCCAAGGAAGAAGAGAAACGTCAGAAAGAGGCTGCCAAAGGAGACCCAGCGATGGTGATGATCTTGTCTCCATTTCTTCAAATCTTACTTGTTCGTCCGATTGGTCTGTTCGTTTCACACCACAGATTTTGGTGTAGTCAACTGACATTGCCGTCGTGATAAATAAGCGACCACTTTCTGTACCACTGTCGTCTAGTGCTTTTGTTCAATTACCATAGTGATAACATTACAGAGAAAGCTGAGTCGGAAGGAGAGACGGAAAGCGTCGCAACAAGAAAGAGAAAGGGAGAAGGAAGCAGCAAGGCTTGCAACTAGAACAACAGTGTATCATGATCCGTACAGGTGAGTTAAAACCATCGAATGCTCGCTTTTTTTTTCAAAGGGTCTTCCTGACTCACTTATCAACACATGGGTCTGCTTCTTGGGAGTGATGCATAGGCTTCTGAACAGGAATGCTCGCCCTTGTGCCCAGTCACTTCCGGGCCGTGAAGACCATTTAACTACGGAGTCACAAGTCCATAATTCACAAGACGCATGTTTTTCGTTTCTTTTATGATGCTTATGAAAGAGATAAGTTTTGAGCAAGCTCAGTCACCTAGAAGTGTCATCCAAATCGTAAACGATCGATGCTCTGAAAGTTATATCCTATCTTGTCATAGTATCTTGCTACGCTCTTTATATGTGCCAGGTGTTCATTTATCCACTTAGGTGGTTGTTCTCAATTATCTTGAAAAATACTACCGTTATTGCTTTACGAAGCATTCTTTTGTGTTCATGGGCCTCCATATATCTTGCTCACATGTATCAGGAATTGTATCTCGTACAAAGAATTTCTTGTCTAAAACAGTTCTTATTGTCTTGGAAAGTTCTGGCTACGTAGATATCGTATTAGACCATTGAAAGCTACTCAGGAGCTTCCATATTTGTTGGCTTCTAAGGTTCAATTACGAATACAAAAGACTTTCGACATGAATTCTGCTTAGCAGTGTTTGGTTTTATTGAGGAAATGCCTAGCTTGGATATTACAATCTATGTTTTCATGTGTTTGCCCTCTCTGGGGGCCTATTAGTTGCGCTCAAATTTACATTTTCTAGATATTTTCAACCATCATTTGGAGTACATGTCTGTGCATAAGATCGAAGGGTCCACAATCTACTCATCGGATGACCAGGCTTTATGAGTTCTTTACATCTCAGTGTAGCAAATTGTGTCCGGTTTGTAAAAAGGTCCAAATTCTAAGTTCCGCTAACTTGTTTATGCAGAGAGCCTAGAGGAAGTCCGACATACGAGGCTTACTCTCGTTCACGGAGGTGTGCTCGAAGTTCCTACCTCTGTACATGATTCTGTTATAAAGAGGCCGTTGATTTTGCTGTCACGTTCTCCGTGTGCTAAGCCGTGTGGAAGGACACCTTTTGAACGTTGTGGATGATTCTTTTGAGTTGTAATCCTACAGGGACAGAGACAGGTCAAGATCAAGATCCCCAACACCATCAGGGTCTCGGCGATACGATCGATATAGTGAGCGGAGCAGGGATCGCGATAAGAGGAGAAGAACTCGAGCATCAACACCTAAAATAGAGTACATTACGGAATTCGGTATTGCAGAGGGAGAGCACGGTCTTGCTGGGGGGGGAGTCGCTCCGCCACCATCACCTCCATCTCAACTTGAAACATTGAACCGGTCGGAGCACTGGACCTTTAAGACCTGCAACGATCATAGCTTGGCCCCAATATTTGTCGTGCTGCAGCTTCGTCTGCTGCTACGCCTGGCTCCCCAAGGCAGGCACCTGGGTGGTCTTGGGGTAGGTTGGGCCCAGGGCGCACAACCCTGTCAAAAATTACACGTAGACTACCACTTGAAATGACAGGCAGCTATGAGCTGACATAGAACCAAGGTAGAATAGGGAAGGTAATTCTAACGAGGGCATTATCGGGGTAGGTGACGGGGCCTGATTCCTGTTCTCATAACATTCACTTCTGGTTCCGAAATGCTCTTGCTCAAGTGGACTTTGTATTTGTATAACATTGCAGGCATCCCACAGGGCGCATCCTTGAGGCACTTCATGTAGATCCAGCAGCAACAGCTGCAGCCTCTGGTGCCCTGACCTCTGAGTGGGAAAGAACTCACAGAGAAGTGAAGGTTCCATCTACAAGGTACTCAACAGATAATCTCGGTGATTGTTAGGAAGCAGGGAATCCGAATCTTGATTTCAACTTGAGCAGTCTAGTCACGGACGAGTGTGTCAAACAGATGACATAATTCGAAATGCTCTACGTAAATATGAAGATTTGATTTGTATTAGTGTCCGGAGGTCTCGCGCATATCGACAGCTTAGCAGTAGTCTTTAGACGCAACTACCTCACTTTTAGAGGCCTTTGGTTCCTGTGATGTAAGAACTTTTAGTTTATTGTACATCATTGATTTCCCAATCGCAACAGATTGACTGATTCTCAATTTACCTGAAAATTTGGGAAGCACCCTTACTAAATGAGATTGTCTCTATTTTTCGTTATCCGTATCTTGAGTTGAGGACTGCCATGAAACTCTCGATCGTTTGCATGTGTTGTTTGCAATGTGTGTATTTGTTTATTGTGGTCTTACTGTTATCTCATCGTTCTTGGCAACCACATTCCTTAGGTTTGACTTTAACACATGTATTCACTGCCTGCAGCACTTCATCAGTTTCTGCGATTGCAAAGCTTAGCAAGCCAGCTCCTCCCTCGTCCACTCCATCACAGAAAACTCAATCTGGTGAAAAGAAGGAGACGCCACAGGAGCGGCTGAAGAGAATCATGAGCAAACAACTCAATAAACAGAGTAAGTACAGAAAATACAGGAGCAATTGGCTTCGTGGCGTTGGTGCAGATAGCAGGGCTCTGGTTATTAAATCGTTTTGATGCTAAGGCCGAATTGATTCTTGAAAAGTAGACGGTGTTGGACATGTTTCATACTATTTTAAGACTTTGTATTTTGTTGTCAATAGTATTTTGACGTCAATACTCGTTTAGGTATACAATTCTATGCCAGTATTATTACGCGAGTGTTCAGCGGAGCCCCGTTTTCTTCAGTGTAGACTGTTCGGTGGACTTCTGAAAACCAAAATTACGTCAAGGGTCCCTTCAGTAGGAATGGCTCGATGATTGATTTCTGAATGTTGATATATTTATGGCGCAGTCAAGAAAGACACTGTGACTGAAGCGGCAAAGCGACGCGAACAGGAGAGAGAAAGGCAGGAGAAGCTAGCAGAGACCCGGAGAATCGCACAACGGAAGCACCACAGTCGATCGGATAGTCGATCGCCTAGAAGGTTCTGATTTGTTCTTGAATCGTCTTCAAGGCCGAGTTCGTTTATTTGGTAACAAATTACGGGGAATTCGTTCATGTTGAACGACGATATGACTTTGTCCGTTTATCATTTGGTCATTGCCAAAGTTTTTATCCAGTGACCCTTCATCATCACATGTAATCTGAACTGCATTCAGATTACCTTCAATAGCCTTAACCATTGTGCTTTGCTAGTGTAAGTCTCAAGTCGTTGTTGAATCATAAACGCGCCAATTTTAAGTCGTGTCCACTATTGATGGATGACCCACCACAGGTATCATAGGAGCAGAAGTCGGAGTCCATTAAGGTCTTATCCTCGTTCGCCGTCCCGGTAAGACTTCGTTTCAGGTACTTAATATTCACACGCTTTAATTCTGTAGATTATAAATATCATATTACGCATTTCTTCTGTACCTCTCCTCGTCGGTCACGAATTGAGTGGGTCTTCAGATCTCGGAGCAGTCGGACAAGGAGCTGAAGATATCTCAAATACAACCATTGACCGACTTACATCAAGCCTTTTTTTTGATAAAGAAATCACTGCTCGTGCATGTGGTCTACAGTTGTCACTTTTACATTACTCCATCCCCTCTTAGACTGCAACGGAGTTCAATATCCACTCGATTCATAAACGCTAGTGCTTGCAATAGGCAGTTTAAAGAAACGTTTTGGTGGCATCTGATATGCCTGGTCTAATATGCCCCCAGGTTTCTCTGAAGGTTTTGATAGAAACTGAACGTGGATTATTTTGTGTCTAGCAAATCCACCGTCTCCAGTAGATGTAGCTACGTTACTGTTATTTAGGTTGTAGAGTAAAAATGTTTGCTTTAGTTCTTACTCAGTTGTTAAGGCCTCGTGTTAGCAATCTTCATTCAGTACGAAAAAGAGTGAAGAAAATCAATGAATGTGAATACTTCATATTCTTCTGTACCTTCCCTGTTTGATGAAGCTCTTTGCAAATTCTCAGATCGACTGTTTACAAAGATGATAACATAGTTGTTGGCGATGCATCAGATGATTGTGTTAAGAATCGCTTGTATCTCTACTTGTGCATCTTGATCACGATTCACATTTAGATGCTTGTGTGTCCATTGTTTGACCTTATAAGTGCTTGAATGCATACTTTTTGAAAGCTTTTAATCCCTTCAAATGGGGATCTGATCCAAGAGTCAAATATTCTCATGAGCTATATTTTCTCTATTATTCGCTTCATTTTTAAGGTAGCTTTGGCTACATGTTTTAGGTGAGGCTATGACATCTTGGCTCTGTGGTTGTGCTTTCATGTCTGATTTTCATTCGGAACATTTTGATAGACTATTCCATGCCTTTACATTGTCTCCCAATATACATTTGAACTTTGATCAAATGTCAAACACAACGAGACCTTCACAATTTTACAAAAGTACATAACACTGTATGGACTGGAATTAAGTATGCTACATAGGTTCCTAAATATTTCTTGTCTTAAACTTCAATTTTATCAATATTTTAGTAGTTTGCATGTGTTGTGAAATTTTTACCACTACACCATATTACAAGACTAATTGGTGATGTAAATAGCACTGCTCTCCTCGCTCACTACCCACAGGCAAGGAGAACCTCAAATAAGGCGTATGATGTTTTAAAATTCACTATCAGTCTCAAATGTGGGAAGGCAATAAAGGTGTATGATGTTTTAAAGTTCACTATTATTCTCAAATGTGAAAAGGCAATCTGACAGTCTGAACACAAATACGTTCTTGAGGAGTTTAAACGTCGGACAAAATGAATCCTCCAATTTGCTCTAGCGCAGTCGTACTTCTTGTCCAAAGGTTTTATAAGTTTCAGATTTAGTGTATCCGTTCATGTCTTCCAACATGTTGAGTATACCAACATGGACTTCAAAACTTATACGTCTTATGTAAATTTTTGTAGGGAACCATTAGGTTATGTAGTACAGGTCAACGCTAAATAATACTCAACAATTTTCAACTGGGTGACTTTTTTGTGATCACAAACACAAGTCAACTGTCAGTCTTATAAGCATTCGGGAAAACTTATTCTTAGACCATCCTGTTAACCCTCTAGAAGAACCTCTATCTACAAGGATAAGAGCACAGAAATAACAAATGTGCCCATGTTGGTTTCAGTACATGTGGGGAATAAATTGTCAAACCAAAGAACAAAAGAAAAGGGAGACCTATGAATAGACTGATTTGAAATATATTGTAGAGCAATTATTATGTACAAATTGTCCAAAAAAGTGAAAAAAAACCTTATTGAAATATGTGATGTGACATCACCTACCACGATAGTATTTCTTATGTATGATATTGGCCTAAATGCAATGGAAATGTGTCATTTAGATCAAGCTGCAGAATTGTCTGATAAGTTATACATAATGTTTTTAAATCTATTATTCTCTCATTTATTCTGTCACCAACACGTCCAAATTTACATACTTAACTTTCTGAGATTCCAATACTAGGGAAACAAAGAAATGATCTTTAGACATAATTTTCTTGGATACTCTGTCTCCTACCATCACACTTGTTGCCCATTGAAAATTATCATTAATGATTGATCATATACTTGTGTTATGTATTGGGTTAGTGACCACAACATATGTAAACTTATATGAATTTTAAGTGCAGATTGAGCAAAGTTTTCAGCCTGTCGCATTTAAACATTTGTAACTCATTTTTAAACATATTCTTGATTAATTTGCAAGAAGGTTTGGATATTCATGCAAGCTTACTTTGTTGTAGTTCTTTTCTCATATTGATACATACAAGTTATATAATAGTTAAGTTTATTAATCATACAAGTTATATATTTATATTTGAATAGAATCATATTCATTAAATTGAGTTATTGTAAATAAGTTGATTTATGCCCTATCTACATATTTAAAATAGTAAATCATCATATTTAAATCCTGAAAAGAATGATGACAAGACATATTAATTGTTTGAAATGTTCTGGAAATGAAACAAAGGAAGTGAAAATATGATGACTTAGTAAAATCTATGAGGATGTTATCAATATAAAAGATTGAAGATGATTTACTACTACATATAAATTGTACTTATAAAACTTATATTTTGAACTTTTGCAAAAATTGATTAACACAACTATCATTGTTTAACCATACCTTGCTACCATTGTTTTTTTCCTTATTAGAAAGCTATTATTAGCATCAAACTTTCATTAGCACTTTTTACCTTATATTTTAAATATTTTAAAAAATCTAGTTCATACTTCTAAATACAATATTACTTTAGGTCAATACATCAAGATTACATTCTTTGCTCAATGAATTACAGAAAAATCCTTTCATATTGATTGCTTCAATTATAACGTCAACTTCAAACTCTGAATGTCATTCTTCAATTCATAAATTTGAGATTACTTTCGCTAAAAAAATATTAGTATTACATTAAAATATAATAATTCTACTTTGAATGACGTCTAAATTTTTCACAGATCACGCGAACAGACAATTGATGTTATTCAAATGTGAAGTTTTTCTTCAAAGCTGCAATCATTGAATCATACAGCCATTTTAAAATTTATTATTTTATGTATTAAAAATGAAGCTTTATTTCATCTTATTTCATATCAAATGATAAGTTTGTTTGATTAGAAATAATTCTTATGTATTTGAGTTTCTGTCGCATATTTTAATTTTTTAAATGACTGACTTATACATTTCTGCAAAATGGAGCTTCAACTTATGTATCCAGTTTCAAAATTTATAGAGTTTTTTCTTGTACAATTTTTAATCATGTTCAATATCAACAAGCTCAAACATGATGTTAATATAATGCAATAAAAAAATCTATCATCGCATAAAAAGTAGAATTTCTAGTTTTTTAAATCACATAAAACAAATTTATTTTTGTTTGATGTAGATTTAACATGTATTTATTATTTCTTGCCCTTAGCTTTAGCCAATATTAGATAATATACATCATCAAATTAATGAAGTTTTTTTACCGCATTTTTGTTAGGATTTTTTGACATTTTTATCCTCAATAACATAAATTAAACTTTGAACAAACAAACAAAGAAAAAAAAGAGAAACAAACAAATACTTCTTCAAAGTATGCAATTTTGATTTTATGAAGTACACATCTTCTATACTTCACTTGATTTAAACATGGGTTTTCAAAAACAATTCTTACAAACGTTCATATATAACATAGTCATCTATTTATACAAATAATTTACCTAAACCTTATAAACCCTAAATTGATAGCATATTATTATTTTCAACTTAACTTTCATGCTGTTCTTCAGTTTTTGAAAGTTATAAGGACTTCAGATTCGTAAATAGAAATAAGCCATATAAAGCTTTAGTCATATTAACAAAAAAACACATCATATTTTAATCAAAAAAATGATGCTTTAAGCGTATGCTTTTGCACATGATTATGTATGCATACAAATGACTAGAAATAAAGGGGAGATGATAAGCAAATGATAAGAGAACTTGTCATAATTCAAAGAAACGTAGAAAGAAGTAATAAATAAGATGGTGATTGCTAATGATAATGATATTCTACAATCCATCAATCTATTACAATTCATGTTTAAAGTGTATTTTTCAAAAATATAATGAAAACTTAGATACAATGTTTAAAACATAGCTTATCATTGATCATAAAAATCAACTTTGAAGTGATTTTGCAATCATTTTTATTTTATTTTCTGGATAATATAAACGTGGGTGATCTCTATGTGTGTAATTTAATTGTGTACACTGAATCTTCGATTTTAAAATTTCCTTCAAGTTAGGATATGATATGATTTTGATTTTTTCTGATTTTTAATGACTTCCATGTGAGCTGATATTTCTATCTATTCAACAATTGATGATGTAACATTGCATACATTTTGATTAGCTTTAGTTAAAATTTTGAAGTTTTTCTCTGCACTGTCTGAATAATTGGATTTATCAAACTACAATATGGTCTTGGTTCAGTATGAGATGTGAATATCAAGTTTTATTGGATGGAGAAGAAGTCTGTCATTAGTGAGAAAGAAGTAGATTCAGAGCGTGTTTTGCTAGCTAAATAAGAATGATAAGTATCTTGTATAAGTAGTTTGAGGTGAAAATAACTAACGTCATTAGTGTGTCATTTGAGTCACTATGATAGTATTGCATGCGTTATTAGGCCTCGGCTAGGTAAGGTAAAAGGTAACCGGTAACCCATGGGCCTTTAACTTTATTCTTTACTTCTACCTCAAGGTAATTACCGGGTTACCTGATACGGATTCTTAAAGGTTTAAGAGTCACCCTTACATCAGGGTTACCCGATAATTACCCTATTATCTCTACCCTAAAAGTTAAAAGGTAGAGGTAATAAGGAAATTTACCTGCTTAGTACAGTTACGTGATGGAATGGAAACTCTCCAGATCATCTATGTTGGAGGCCCTCATGTGCAAGAGGTCAACTTTTAATTCCCTATCTAAACTTTGTGCTCTCACTAGAATCTACATAATAGCGCTTGCTGTCGAAATTACCAATTTGATTTAAACCTGCATTGCTGTTTCATAGATCCCTTCTGGAGAATGTGTAGAATTACATTTTGAATAATTCTCAGAGTGTACACTTTTTTGTTTTTCGCGTGTACGAGGGTTATCCGGTAATTACCGTATAATCTATTTGGCGCTACCTTTACTTTACCCTATAGCCAAAACTCTAACTTTGACCCTTACCTTTTACCGGGTAACCCTAAAATGTTATGTTACCTTGCCGAGGCGTATGCGGTATGATCTTTGCAAGGAGTTCATAAGGTATGATTGAGGCATTCTGTGTTATGCAAAACGCACAGTGAGATTTACTTGTTGTGATGTATTTAATAATTTTGATTAGTATGCTATAAGGATGAATATGTTAGGGTGGAAAAAGGACACAAAATCAAGGCTGGAAGTCCATCAGTAGAAATAGGAAGAGCAAACTC